ATCCTACAGCTCAGTGGCTCTGAAGTATGGTCTGTAGCTCAGTAACAGTACCAACTGAGAATCTGCTAGAAATACCATTTCTTGAGCCCCAACTCTGTAATCACAAAACGAATCAAACTTTGGATGTGGAGCCTAACAGTCCATGTTTTAACAAGCTCCTCAAAATAATTCTGATGCGCACCAAAGATTAAGAGCCTTTGCTCTAGATTATTTCTTAATTTATTCTCTTGCTATGGTTGGAACATCTCACAGTAGCTTTGTAAAGGGTCCAACGAAGATAAATTTTGAGAACTTGTACATCTGAAAATGTTCTTTATCAAAATTCTTTTCTTTATAAAAAGATCAAATTAAAGGGTACATAATCATAGAAGGCTATAACACACACACACACTTGATAGTTTCATTTGGTATAAAAGTCTAAATTAGGAATAATTTTCCTTTAAAATTTCTAAGGTATTGCTCCAGTGTCTTCTAGATTCTGAAATCTCATGATGTGCCTTAGAATGAATCTTTTCTCATCCATTATGTGGACCCTTTCAAGTTGGAAACACTTTTTTCAGTTATGGGAAATTTCCCTGAAGAATGTGATGACTTGTTTGCTTGGTTTATTTTTCCTGGACTTTCTGGACCTTCTACTGTTTGAAAGTTGGGCCACTTGGACTGATCTTCTACTTTTAATTATCTTGTACTATTTTCCATCATTTTAGTTTCTGCTCTGTTCTCTGAGTTTTTCAACTTTAATTTCCAACCCTTCTATTGAGATTTTCATTTTGTTATTCTCCACTTGCAAGAATTCTTTTTAATCCTCCGAATTACTTTGCAGTATCCTGTTCTGTTTCATTTATGTGATACCTCTCTCTCTCTGAAGATACTAAAGATAATGTTGGGGTTGTGTTTCCCTTATATAGTCCATTCAAATTAACATTTTTATTTTCTTTCTTTCATGTTAGGAACTTCTCTTATCCTTTGTTCTGCTCATATTAAGAGCCAGACACTAATAAAGGGAAGGATGGGGGCAATATTTGTTTGACTTTGGGCTTCCCTGTAGGGTGATCTGTCCTGGTTCCTTAGAGAAACCCACAATGTCAGTGTCTTTCAGTCTTTCTTCTTGGTTCTCCCAGATTCTCTGGAGAACAGTCTTTCAATTTCCAGCCTGTAAGGTAATTATGCCCATCAATTTTGAGATGTTAAGTGGAAGAGCAAGGCTGGGAGTCCTAGCATTCAGTATGTAAACATTTCGTTAATCCCCTTACTTCAAGTACAAAGACCTGCTTCTATTATTTAATAGAAATCATCTATTTTACTCTCAATGAGTAAATCTCTAGTCTTCTCTCCCAGTAGGGAGAGGCATTTGCTGCCCAAAGTGTAGTAGCAAACTTGGGCTGTTGTCAACAGATTTTTAACCCTATCTTTTTTAGCCCTACCTTAAGCCCTTCTAGAAAGATCTATGCCTATTCTTGAGCCTTTGGGGAATTCTGTAGTATAAACTGGGTTGCAGGCGTTAGGGTCAATTTCTTTGGATCCTTTAAAATAGTTATCAGTCATCCATCCCTTTTCTGGTTTCTAAAATTGTGTTACTATAATCTTCAAGTACAGGAACTCACCCTCCCCCCATTATTAATAGAAATCCTCCACTTTTTCAATGGGGGTTTATTCCTTTTAAAAAATTCCTTTACTGTCATTTTAGTGGGATTGGGTAGACAGTTATAATATATGCCTGTGCTCAACCTGCCATCTTTACATTGACGCTCTCTTTAATCTTTACAAATAACCCTGAGAAGAATGTATTGCAGCCTCCTTTTACAAATGAGGGAAAGGATTCATGTTAATTAACTTCCTAAGATCAGCTAAATGGCAAACAAGTATTCAGGGCTGGGTTTTTGAGCCAGTATTGAAAACCAAGTTTTCTAATTTTAAAGCCTCTGCTCAACTCTTCCTGTTGTCCACATGCATCTAATTATATACTATACCACATAATTTTACACTTACTTGTGTTGATCATTATTTCCACAACCACTGAATCTCCAAAACTAAAGCAAAAGTTTTTTGAGGGTCAGGGGCTTTATGTTGTATTTCTATTATAGCGCCAGATGCAGTTAAAAAGATGTAGAACACCTACAAATCTCCATATTTTTCTGACAACTATGTACTTTTTCTATCATAATTCTTACCACTCACACTGTAATCCCATGTCTACCTTTCTATCTCACATTCATCTGGTAATCCCTTGAGGGAAATGACTGTGTCTATTTTGTATTCCATGTCTATGCATAACAAATGCAATAATCACAATTAATAGTACATATTATTCAATAGGGCTGGAGATGAAAAAGTGCTCACTAAATATTTGCTTAATGAGCAAAAATTCAAAAAATTTAGTCTAAATTTTATCAAATTTCCATGTACACTGCAGAGCTCTGGGTGACAACTGCCATCTCCTATATAGCAGTTTTAATAGACAAATGGTGCAAATAAGATACAAAATACTTAATGTCTAGATTTGAGTTCTGAAAGTTTGGTTTGGGATTATTACAATGTCAAGAAATCGTCCCACATTAAAATGAAAGATTGATTCTAAATACCTGATCCACATTCCTTTGCTTTTCATTCTTGGAGATAATGCTATAAGTTTTTCACTTGTAAAGTTAAAAAATCTTTAAGGATGCCAAACCAAATAGTTTCCACTCATTCTGATTAGAGATGTCAGTTCATGCTTATTCAATCTGTAAAAATTTTGAATGGCTAACCCATCATACATGGCAAGACAGTTAAAGTATATGCACCCTGTCAATTATATCTCAAAATTGAAAGGAAAAAAAAAACAGGTAGTAAGATGAATGAGAGAAAACCAAGAATCAGGCATGATGATTTCATTTAATTTGGGTTAATATAAACTTTTCTGTAATTATGGAACAATTATAATTTCGTCAGGTTTTTCTGTCACAAATAATACTGGACTTAACATCTTTGTGCCTAAGTAGTGGTCTGTATTTTAGATTGTTTAAAAAAAAAAAGATACATGTACCCTAAGACTTCCACTGAGGCTTTATACATCATAAATAAAACCGGTCTTTACAACCCAAACTCTCCTGCTTTTTGAAGGAAAAGAGCAACAATAACATCTTTCCTGTTTCACCTACTTTAAAACTATCCAGTTTTAAGCCACTCTACTTACTGGCTTATTTGTTTTTCTTGGGGAGGCAGTCCCATGTGAACTTTGGAGTAAGACAAACCTATTGTCAGTTAAAGCCTTATTAGCTACTATTAGCTCTGTGGCCTGAGGCTGGTCACAACATTGCTGACAGCCTCAATATTCTCACCTACATAATGGAGGTAAAATAATCGTACCAATCTCCTAGGGTTGTGCTGAGGAGTAAAGGGACAATGCATGCAAAGTGCTTAGCAAGTAATGAAAGCTCAGAAACTGTTATTATATGCACTGAACAATAAAGTCTTGTACAAGGCTTAACATATACAGGTGCTACTCTAAGAATACATATACTGACAATTTCAATCTTCACAACTCGACAGAGATATTAGGAGTGAAAAACTGAAACAAATTCAGAACTCTCTCCAGGTTACTCAGTTGCTAAGATTTGAATCCAATCAATCTGGCTCTAGAGTCCATACCGTTAACCACAGAGCTATGTTCGGCCTGCTGATTAACAAACCTTCTTAGGAAACGAAAAAAGGAGACGAGCGGACAGAACTGGTTAAGTCCAATGGTTTTAGAGCGAATCCAGCTATTCCTACCACGCCCCTAATTTAAGAAACACTAACAAGCTTTTATGAATCTCGAAGTTAACGCTTAGCGGGTTTCACTTTTGGTGTCATCTTCTGAAAGTTATTACTATCAGTTTTATGCAGAGCGAGGAAGGCTAACAGCAGGGTAGTAGGAAACTGGATACGTGTCCTCGGGAAACACAGGAGCAGCACCATATGGCTGATTCACTTTTTTTTATATTTTCACAAAGAGAAAGAACACCTCTTAACCAGTACTAAAACTTGGACTTGCCGTTTGGGAACAGGGCCCCCAAAACAAGAAAAGGCCGATGAGAGGCCATATGAGCTGGACAGCAGCTGGGGGCGCCTCACTCCTGACCACCTGGAGACCGTGACCTCGCCCTCCTCGCCCCGCCACGCTGGTCACCTGTAGGGGTTGGAGTCCACCACCTCCGGGCTCATCTTCTCGATGCGGACCCGACCGCCTCCACCGTCGCCGCCCCCCAGGGCCCGGCGACTTCTCTCCTGGGCCAGCTCCCGCTCCAGCTCCTCGACCCGCTGCTGCAGCCGCTCCACAGACTCGGCCATGGCTGGACCCGGCTGCCAGCGCTCCCAGACCCGGCCTTCGCCGCCGCCGCCGCCCCACGCTGCTAGGCCTGCTGGGCCCGCGAGGACCTTGCGGCGGCCTTCGTAGCCCAGACCCCGGGGGAAGCGCTCCCAGCGCCTCCCGGACCGACACGTCTCCGCAGCTCCCTGCGGCCGCCCACAGGCCGCTTCCGGTGCGTTGCAGTCATTGCTCCCCCCTCAGATTAAAAAAACCCGCCCCTTTCAGCTTCCTTCTTCGCCTGGGCCAAGAGACCAGGCCGCAGCAGGACAGAGGTCATAGGTGTCCAGAGCCCACGGCCTGTGATGTTGCCTTTCCAACCGGGCGACTAGGAGTAACCCCGGGATCTTTCATTCCTGGGTTCGAGGTCCTGACGGGCCCTTTTCTGAACCGGACCTTATGGGTCTTCCGCCTGCTGGTGCATTAAATTTGGAGGTGGGAGAGGCCAGACCGTTCTTACTTGCCCTTAGGGACTAACTTTACTTTGCTTGCTTTCTTTAGAATTGAGGCCTCCAACTCTGAGGCTGACTGAAAATTTAAAACCCAAGTACACCTGAGGCCCTTCTGGCATTTCCCGACTAATGCCCAAGTCCTGAGAATCGGCCGGCCAGTGTTGCCCAGCAACGGCGCCTACGGTGTGTGATTGGCTGGGGCCGCGAGCCGGCTTCCGGGGGTGTTCCGGCCTCGCCCCCTGGCTACTGCATGGCAGCGCCTCCCGAGTGGTGTCCGATCCCCGGAGACTTGTTTCTGCGGCTCTCTGGTCTGAGGAGGCAGCAACGATCATGGAGACCAGGGCCTCCCGCGAGCCCGACACGGTCGAAGTGCTGCCCCAGCACAAGTTCGACTGCAGGTCCCTGGAGGCCTACCTAAAACAGCATTTGCCCGGCTTTGGGGCTGAGCCCGAGGCCAACCTGACCGTTGCCCAGTACAGGTATCGCCGCCGGCCTTCCCCCGTAGAAACGTTATCTGTACCTTGTGCTTTTCTTCTTTTCGCTCTGGGTGGGAAACTCCCAATTTCCCCCATCAGGTTTCTTTTTCCTACAGTGACATACACTCTGCAGGCGGGAGCTGCCATCACCCGAATTTCATTCTAGGTATCTCCATTTCGAGGGCAATGATGGAAACACGGTAACATTCACGATTCCAGCTATGAGAAGAAATCTTTAACAATTATGTACCTCGAGGATTCAGTGAATCAATTACCATTGGAAGCTCTGTGGTATATGAAGAGGCCTTTCCTCAACTTTTGTTCTGTAACCATTAGATCTTTTTTTCTGAAAAGCAGATGTAATTCCCTTCACACTGGCCATATTCTTGGAGACTGAGTTAATGGCACCTGCTGTGGGATCTGAATTCTAATCCTAGCCCTTCCACTTAGCAAATCACAGCACCACTTTGGGCTTTAGTTCTTTTTGGAGTTAGGGAATGGAACTGGATGATCATCCTGAGAATACTGTTATCCACCATAAATCTGGCTCTAGTCTGATGTTTTATAATAGAAAACAGTCTAAAAAGAAACTTGATTCTAAAAATAGTATTTTGATAAATACAGAGCTATAGAAGCAGTCCTGGCTTCCAGAAAATTAGGTCTGCCACTTATTGCCTGAGAATTTTAAAACTTTGTTACATGAACCTTCTGAGAACTAGGTGCATAATCTGTAACAAATATCTGCCTGTTCTGAGTAATCCTGATAATTAAATGAATATAGGTGAAGGGTCTTAAACACTGTAATAGCACTGTATACCAGTGGCATTTATCACTGGCATTTGTATTCCTTGACTACCAATTTCAGAGAAATTAAAAAGAGAAAGAGATGGATCAGAGAATTTGGGGGTATAGAATTAAAAGGCACCTGTTGCAGTAGATATTGTAGGATGAAGGAGAAGGTGGAATTTAAAAAAAATGGCTGAGGTTTCTAGCCTAGAAGCCTTGTGTTGTAAACAAACTAACAGATCAAAGTTCAAATTTGCTGTGGCAATCTGGACAAGTTATTTAACCCTTTTGAGCATTGAGTCCTTCTTTGACAAAATGAAGATAGTAATATTTATCTCCTAGAGTTCTTCGAAAATTATCTAACTGAAAGATACTTAATTCTGAGTGAAGTTGAACGTTAAATAAACCAGAATTGGCTTGATAAGTGGAATTCGTTGTGACATAAATAGTATATATTTATGGAACTAGCCCACAGAGAATATTCACACATTTATTTCCATGACACATGAAAAAGTTTATGAAAATTGAAGACATGTTAGGCCACAAAGGAAGTTTCAAAAATTCTAAAGTGTCATTCTTAAAACATTTTTTTTTTTAGAAATCAACAGAAGACAGCTAACAGATGCATGTTTAGAAAGTGTTTTGATATACAGAGTAAGGAGCCAGTAATCTACAGATAATAAAAGAGTTTAATCAAAGTTCAGAATGCAAAAATCAATTGCACTTCTGAACTTTAGCAACAAACGTGTACAAATATAATTTTCAGAGAAATATAATTAACAAGAGCATCAAAAATACAAATTTCTCAAATATTCATGAAGTATGTGCAAGACCTTTGTGGAGGGAATTATAAAACTGTATTAGGACTTTAAAAAGAACTAAATAAATTGAGAGATGCCATATTCTCGAATAGTGAATTCAATATTGTGAATGTCTCTTTTTTCCAGCTGATCTATAGATTCAGTGTAATGGCAATCAAAATCTTATTATTTTCCCTAATTTGAAAAATTACTGCTAAATTTTATGTACAAGAGCAAAGGGCTAAGAGTAGCAAAAACACTCCAGAAGAAGAACAAAGTGGGAAATTTGACTAAAGACGGCATGTTATTAAGTGCAGAGATAGACAAACAGAGCAATAAAATAGCATAGAATCCACAAAAAGACCCACATATTTATAGAACTCTGGTATGTGACAGTGCTAGCACTGAGAATAAGTGTATGTGGGGTTGGAAAGAGGGAAGGATTTTTAAATAAATTATACAGGGATAATTGTTATCGATATGAAAAAATTGAAATTAGACCCTTTCCTTAACTACCTTACACAGTTTCAGTTGGATTTCAGACTTGAATGTTAAAGGCAAAACTATAAACACTTGGAAGACTTATAAGAGATGATTTTTAAGACTTTGGAGTAGAGAATAAAATCTTAAAAAGGACAAAAGCACAAACCATGAAGGAAATGATTGGTAAATTTTCAGTAAAAGAATCCTTAAAGAAAGTGAAATTACAAAAGAAAATATTTGCATAGTACATAAGGATAAAAGATTAATATCCAGATTAAAGAACTACAATAACCCAACAGAAAAGTGGGCAAAAGACTTGAAGATGCTAAACCTCATTACATTGTAGTAATTTGGGAAATGCAAATTAAAATGACAAGATGCCATTTATGCCATCATATTGACTTAAAAAAAATCTGACAATATCAAGCAGGGTATGAGATAACAGACTTAGGCAGTATCGGTGAGGATGTAACTATCTTAGAAAACAATTTGGCACAATCCTGTAATGATGAAGATGGGAAGATATACATGCCCCGTGACACAGAGATTCTATTCCTAGTTGTACTCTCTTACAAGGAATTCTTGTACTATGGTATCAGGAGATAAACTCAAAAAATGTTCATTGCATGGTTTGCAATGACAAAAATATAGGAACAAAACACAATGTTCACCACCAGTAGACGGGATGAATAAATTGTGTGCTCAATGTGTGGAGGGAATACAAGCTAGTGTGCCTGGAGTTGTGTAAGCGAGGGCAGCAGGAACTCTGTTGGCTGTTGTAAAGGATTTGGTCTTTACTCTGAGTTGAAATGGTGAGAGATTAGGGATTTGGCAGCAGAACAGGGAGGTGATTTGTCTTTTTTAACAAAATCTCTTTGCCTACTGTATTTGACTGACAGAGGCAAAGGCAAGGAAACCAGTTTGGAGTGTATTGCAGTGACTCAGTAGAGAGAGATTAGTAGCACGGACCAGGATGGTAGTGTGGAATAGGTGTGAAGTGGTTATATTTTGAAGGATTTACTGACTGATCAGATGTCTGGTATGAAAGAAAAGAGGAGACAAACAGTATTCCATTTTTGTCTTGGTAACTGGAAGGATGGAAGTATCTTGAAATAGATATGACTGTAGAGAATCAGATTTGAAGGGAAATATCAAGAACTCAGTTTTGGAATATTAAGTTTCAAAATGCCTTTTAGACATTCAAGTGGATATGTACAGTAAGCAGGATATATGAGTCTGGAGGTCAGGGCAGAGGTCTGAACTGGACATATACATTTGGGAGTCATTGACATAGAGAAAGTATTTTAAGCCATGAGAGCATAGAGCTTACCTTGAAAGTGAGTCTACATAAAGAAAGAGGAGGTCTGCAGACTTATTCCCAGGCACCCCTATAGTTAGAAGTTGAATTAAGGAAGAACCTAAAAGGAGTCTCAGAAGGAGTGGCCAGAGAGGTGGGGGGAAACTGTAGTTTGATACCATAGCAGTAATAGTGACTTTGAAAAAGTAACTTTGATGGAAAGACAGGAATTAAAGCTTGATTGACAGGGATTCAAGAGAAAATAGGAGGAGGAATTGCAGCAAGGAGTATAAACAACTCAAGTTTTCTACAAAGAAGGAAATAAATGTTTTATGTAGAGGGGGATGTGTGTGTAATAAAAGTCTTTAAAAAGGCAGCATGTTTGTATGTTGATGGCAGTGACCCAGAAGAGAGAGAAAAATTTGTGCAGGAGAGAGGGCTAGAATGAAGTCCTTGAGTAGGCAAGAGTAGGATGGGATCTAATTCATAGGAGAAGGGGTTGTCCTTAGATGGAATGTAGGTCTTCTTCTACAGATTCTGCAGGGAAGACAGTATATGGGTACAGGTGCTGGAGATGTGGTAGCATAAGCTTGTGAAAGTTCTCACTTGATTGCTTTCATTTCTCAGTGAAATAGAAAGCTGGGTAATCAGCTGAGAGTGAAGATGGTGGACAAGGTGTTGGAGGTTTGAAGAGAGAGGAGAAATTGAAATACTCATTCAAGAGCATGGGAGAATGAAGAGGCTAAGGAAGTATAATTATGATTGCTGTCAGAGGTCACTCTGAGGTTCATGGTCATGAATTTGAAGCAAGAGTAGTTATTTTATTAGATATTGATTCTTTGCCCAGATTCTCTTGGATTCTTCTTTACCATTTCCATGCATACCCTGGTTTGGTGGCTTCCACTTCCAATAGACAGCACCTGTGTCTCTCTTTTGGCTTGCTCTTGGCCTCCTGGAGCCTCTTTTGCACTGAATGCTGTAGTGCCTGATACAGCCCTTAACCAGTGACTCATGGGTTCAGGAGTATGAACTCACCATCATTAGTGCTTTTGATATAAGATAACTCTCAGGTGTGACTACACTGCAGCGTCCCTTTCTCTTATGAGATAGGCTGAGACTACCCTCTAAGGACTTTGTCTCCGGTCATACTCTGGCTTGGCTTTCTCCCCTTCCCTGACCTGCTTCTCCCTCCTGACTGGTTTCTTAAGTGTTTCTTTAATAAGTCACTTGCACACAAATCTTTCTCTCAGGATCTGCTTCCAAGGAACACTACCTAAAACAATAATTATGGCTAGGGTTTTTTTTTCTCCACTACATTCAGTTATAGGAGTGCAGGCGAAGAGTTGGATTTAACCAGGTTGGGGGAAGCCAAGCAAATAACACGAAGTGAGAGAGGGCAGTGCATTAAAGATGTATTCAGAGGAGTGGTTATGAAACTGGCCATCAAACTGAAGCTAGTTAGGGAAGGACATGGTTGAGGGTGGGGAGAGCCAAAGGGCCCTGGGAAGGTAACATGATCGCTGGATGGTAGGTCCTGGGATTGAAGGATCACTGGAATTGAGGTCCTAGTGGGAGTGAGTGGAAAGATAGAAGACTATGGTCAGAGATAAAAGTGCTTAAAAAGTAGGATTATGCTGTGTCTGAGTTGTTGATATTGATAAGGTAGAGGGTGTGTCCTTTAGAATGAGTGAGGGAAGTAATATAAAGGAAAATACCACTATAGGTGAAGAATGCAAGGAACTGACAGGCCCGAGTGTTAGAATGAACATGATTTTGAAATCATTAATAATTAGGATAGGAGTAATATTAATAAGAGTAATAGTGAATCAAGCTAAAATCCTTAGGCAATGAGGGAGAGTGATCTGAGAGCGGGTGAATGCAGCCGAAAAGGTTAGAGGGCAGTAGAGTCTCATGACACAAAATTCAAACCTGGGGAGATGGGTTTAGACAGGAGGAAGGTCAGAGAGCCTGGAAGTGGCAATGAATATCAAGAAAAACACAGACTCCAACGCCAGGCCCACGGGATGAGTGATGTGGGGAAAACATCTATCACGTAAGAGGCCTACAAGGGAAATACACCCTCACAGAACATTCAGGTTTTAGTCAGAGAGCGGAGGTGAAGGGTCCATTCAGAGAAGAGACTGAAGCAGTATGTGATTATGCTACCGAAAGACCGTGAGTTCCAGGGGTCATAGTGGAAGGGTGTCAGGAGTTGGGGCGCGGAGACGGGTAGGGAGAGCAAGACTAAATAGGAACCATGCAGGGAATTAGAACACAGTGGGCAAGTGGTGATGTGGGAATATGGGACTTCTTTTTTGATGGCATAAACAGAGGTAAAGAATATAATGACCCCAATCCTGGTAGTCTCAAGTCAGCAGTGCTGTGAGTGATGGAAGGTAGGAAGGGTTAGATGCTTGGGACTGGGGAAAGGCAGTCTCACACCAAGTGCTCTGGGCTCACTTTTTTTTTTTCCAAATGATGCCAATTTAAAAACAGCTTTGTGTTCTGTCCTGAATAGCACTTTCCACTTATTTATTATATGGCTAAATTGATCCTGTATTATTTTCTTTCTCTGTATATATTCAAGTATTCAAAATGTCTATAACTTTAAATATATTAAAATATAATAATGTAGTTAATATATTACTTATTTAAATAATATTTGTTATAATTTACCATTGTAGGTTATATTATTTATAATAAGTAATATATTAAATAGCAGCTAAAATAATGATTTTTTTAAGACTCACTGAACTGACTTCCTACAAATTAGAGTCCTTCAAACTTCCTGACTCTGTGGAATGTACTATATTGTGTTTAGGTCAGCTCGGTCTATTTTTGCAGTCACAGTTCCCGAAGAGGCAGCCTGGTGGGATGAACCACCCAGAATGGTTCCGGTTCTCTGGTTCACTATGACAGTGGTGGGGTTTTGGACCCTCTCCATCTCTTTCTATTGATGTTAAATTCTTCCTCCTCAGTAATCTACTTCTTGACCAGCCACTTGTTGATTCCATTGCACTTGTAAAGAATCTTCTGTTTGATTTCATCTTTGATTCTGCTTGGACATGTCTCCTCTTCTACCGTGGCCTTATTGTTGACTACACAGGATCAGAGCAAATTCTTAGGGTATATTTTGCCTTTCGGCTTCTCATCTCCAGCTTTGTATTTTTAAGTCTCTTGGACTGTATACTCGATGTTTTCCATGCTCAAACACCATGACATTAGTCTTTTAATCTTCTCTTTTCTTGATTTCTTATCTACAGCAAATACATTTGAGATGCTATTGGCATCAGTATTAAAAGTTACTTCAGTTTATGCAAATCCAAAGGGTGCTGTAAGGATGCCTGTGGCTTGAAACTTGCCAAGCTGGTTGTTATCCTTCATACCCTTCATGAATTGCCCCCTTGGTTTCATAAACCCAAATGAGATCGCCAGGCTGATTGTCAAAGTAGATGTGAAGGTCTAAGTCGGCTTGGTATGAACTGTTATATTGCACTTAATCAGAATAGTCATGACACCACCTGTGGTTTCAGAACTGAAGGAAAGGGGGTGATATCAAAGAGCAGCAAATTCTGAATATTTTCAAATTTATCTCTAGACCAGGGACAAGATGATTACCTACATAGCTGCAAACATGTGTGATACCTATATCAAGATTGATGCTTTTTAAAAATGTCTTGCTGTTGAAAAAAATCTGAAGAATTTATAAGTTTCTGAATTTTGAAGATTCAGATAGAGCCACCCACTGGGATGATGTCATGGGTCTGAGACTTGTCTAGCATGATGTGAGGAAAGGATTTTAAAAAAAATCTTCTCTATGGACAAATTCAGTTAACCTTCTAGCTCTGTTACTCTGGAAATGGGAAAGGTGGCCTGTCAGCTATGTTTCCAAGCAACATTACTTATAGCAAAAATAACATCTGTTTGATAAACTGCCTCTGAACTTACAGGAAGGCCTGTAAACGAACTGTAAATATCTGGTAGGATGCTTTGGGCTTAGCTTTGGGTTTCCCTGTGTGTAAAGGGAAGTGCTTGCAACTGGTCATGTCCCTTGCTAGGACCCTCGAAGCTGTGCCCAGAGGACTATTACTAGAGGTGATGGCTTCTGTGGAGCATGAAGCTTCTAAGACAGGGTGGCACCCATACTTACCCATTGTGGTTTCGATCCTTCAAACCTGAGCTGTCACCAATGGGACACAGGAGTCATGGGTAGATTCTGGACTGCTATGTGGATTACTGTGAAGACCCTCTAAAGAAACTCATTTGATGTTGCCTTGGTGACATACTCTGCCTCCTTTCATCCTGTGCTTCTAAGTGAACCAGTGTTGAGGGTGGCCTCTTAGGGTCTTGTGAGATTGATTGTCTAGTCAAAGTCTTCTCCAACCAAAAGTGTGTTCATAACTGTATACTTATATTCAAAGATTCCATCTTTGTAATTAAGGTGGAACAAATCAAAAGTGCTACCTCTTTGGTTGTAAATCAACACTTTTTTTTTTTTAGCACCAATTGTCTTGTCCATGTCCTAACCAATAATTACGGCTTTTGGCCCATTGATGATTCTTACCATATTGATATCATCAATAGGTTCCAGATTATGGAGGCCTGTTGCTTGGAGTGGTTAAATTTAGTTACTACTGTGTTCACAGTACACAGTGTTGGTGATGATCTTCCCAAGGTTGGCTTCTGGGGTTTTTGTTTGTTTTATCTTTCTGTGTTTGTTAGAACCATGGTAGATACTTAGAGGAGATGCTTTTAGTTTAGTGTGGCTTTGTTTGTTTTAGATAAAATTCATGTTACATAAAATTCAGAATTTTAACTATTTTTTAAGTGTACAATTGAGTAGTTCTTATTCACAGTGTTGTACACTATCACCACTATCTAATTCCAGAACATTTCCATCACTCAAAAAGAAACCCTTACTTCCCAGTGCACCCTTCCTCCCATCCTCTAGATGCCACTAATCTACTTTCTGTCACTATGGATTTACATATTCTGGACGTTACATAGAGATAGAATCACATAATATGTGGCCTTTTGTGACTGGCTTTTTTCACTTGGCATAATGTTTTCAAAGTCCGTCCATGTTGTAGCATGTATCAGAACTTCATTTCTTTCATGGCTGAGTAATACTCTATTGTATGGCTATACCACATTTTGTTTACCATTCATCTGTCAGTGGACCTTTGGCTTGTTTTCACTTTGTGGTTGTTGTAAGTAGTGCTGCTACGAACATTCTTGTATACAGTTTATATGAACATCTTCGGTTCTCTTGGATATGTATCTCTAGGAGTGGAATTGCTGGGTTATACGTAATTGTATCTTCATTGAGAAGCTGTTATTTTTTCCTTTATATTCCGTCTGGGCCATTTATCATCATAAAAGGCCAGGGCTTCGTATATGACTGCATCATCAAAAATGCGTCCAATCAGACACTTGGCATCAAAAAAAATGCTTTTGTAAGTTTCATTGCAGCTTGACTCTTTGGAGCATCACAGATAAATTGTCCCATGTCGAGACAGACAACATAGCTGGAGATGGTCCCATTTTCTGACCATTGGCAATGATCTCCACTTTCCTATACTAAAAGGCACCTATACAGGATTAGATGATGCCAAGATCAGTGCTCTTCGATATGATTGCTCAGGAGGATGGGTCTGGCTTTTAGGAGAAAGATAGAGACCCTAGAGCTGCTGTTTCATTCAGTCTGGACTGCCTTGTTCTTTACAGGTGGAGTCTGGAGGCCTAGGGAGAAACTTTTTCCAAAAAATGTTTTGTCTCTTTCCCCTGTTACCTGTTAGGGATTAGTTCTTGTGTTTATTTAGTTTAAGGCGTCTCTTTCATACTGTTGAATTCTTTAAATGTTGGATAATTCAAAACCATCCACATTATAAATGTAGGTATAGACTGAATAGTTTTGGTAGCTGGAGTGTATTTCATTGGTCCATGTGAGAATTTCTGTTCACGGGGCAGGAAAGTCAGTGTCCTGGTGTCTGTGAGTCACCTGGGGTACTGTTGTACTTCATGGTCCAGATGTCCACTCCAGGACCTTGCTTGTCAGAATTCTCATTGTAGACAGCAGTACTTGGGTGCTAAACCTTGGTGATGCATATGAGGTTCTCTCTCCAACAGTAGATCAGAGGACACTAACCCTGCAGTTTCAACATGTTTAATTAATTTTTGGACTGATCATCTTCTGTCTCTTCTCCAGTGTTTATTTACTTAGATCTAGGCATTGTTCTAGGGGGTACTTCTGATAAAACTCATGATTTGCAGGCATAGAATGAAGTCCTCTCTTCTGCCTATATGGATTACGGATTCTCCATCTGCCACCATGTTACCATCTGCTATTTATCACCCAAAAACTCATGTTCTGAGCTGCTGATAGCATCCTTCTTGACTTTCCAGCATTGAAATGGATTTATTTTCATTTTGTGTTTCTTCTGACATTTCAGCAGGATTTGGGGAAGAAGGAAAATATATCTTTGTGATTCTCTGTTTTCTAGATCAGGACAGTCCAATCCAACCTTTTATCTCCAAAAAGGCTCTGAAGCATATGTACTCAGAAAAAAACCACCTGGTTCACTACTTCCTAAAGCACACCAGGTATGGTATACGATGCAATGATAAATTGTTGACAAATAAATGCATTTTATACACACAAAAACAATTTAAATAGCTTTAAAAATCATCTCATGATTATTAAATATAGAAATGCATTTTATTTATTAGATAAAAATTTCACTAGAATTGTACCCTTTTTTTGCTTTTAAAAAGGATTTGAGGTTGAAATCTGAGGCTGTATTTAGGCTATTAATATTGAGCAATATCCAGTCCTTTTGTGGGTTTGATTCCTTCCTATGTGATTGGCTAGAATACAGTTACCCGGTGAATATTTTCATTGCTACTCATTTATAGATGTTTTTTACTTTGGTTAAATTATGTTTTTAAAAGCACATTATTATATCTTATAACAATACTACTTACTGAATTACTTTAATATATCTGCTATGATAATCCCTTGATCTTTTGATGATAAAAAGAAATATTTGAGTAGTTAATAGAATTTCTAAATATTAGACAGTGACAACCTTGAAAATTTGTTAAAAATTGAGTCTTTCTGTTTTCAGAAAACAAATATTATCTATGGATTTTTAGGAAAGGACAGAAATCAAAGTCTTGGAGAACATTAAAAGCATGATGCATATTTAGGGTGTTATTACAATCATGTATAAGAGGTGCTTCCCAGGCCAAACTGACTGGGGAAGGGCCATTGAGAGGTGGGTTTAATATCACAGTCATGGAAAATGCAGATTCTGACCTTCTTGGTCCCTTATCATATTCCCAGAAACTTGGGTCCTGAGTGATAAGGCTGTCCATCTGTCCTGGCTGAGAGGTTCTTCTCCTATGTTATTTGGGCTGCTGCTTCAGTACCAGCTTACTTCTCATTGCCTCCTTTCCTAGTAGTTATCTTCAGCTCCACAGCAGTACTGCCTTGGAGACAAATACCTCCATTGATCTCAAGAAGGAGTGGGTGCATTTCCCTTCTACCAGCACCCACTGCCCCCCTCCCCAGCACCCTGTAGCTGAACATGCCCAGAGTGTTGGAATAGAGGCTTGTCTGAGCCCCCTTGGGAGACAGGAGAGAGACAGACAAACAGAATGAGAGGGCACATAAGAGTGAGCCAGTGATCAGAGAACTGATGAGAAAAAGATGTTTTATGCTGGTATCTGTGAAATATTCTGGTCAGGAACTGTTGCCTTCATATTATTAGAGCCAGGAATAAGCCCCATGCATGTGCCTATCCTTTTAGACAATTAAATTATCGATATTTAGTTCTGGCCTAATTTATAATTGTAATAATTGCACTAAGACTACTTTTAAGAAAAATATTAAGGAAATTATTATCCTCTGGGTTATTTGTTAATACTGTTTTAAAATTGATTTCTAGCCTTAATGTTAGTTCACAAGTAATTATTAAACTTCTGTATTTCTTATTTTTAATAATCGATCATCCTATTGTAGATTGATAGAGAATTTAAAGTCCAGAAAGCTTTGTTTTCAACTGGATTTCCTGTTCCCAAACCTTTATTGTACTGCAGTGATGCTTCTATCATTGGAACAGAATTTTATGTGATGGAACATGTGCAGGTAAATTAACTCTTAATAGCACTTTTTACTGCTTTTATTTTAATTATGAAATTAGATATTAATAAATGATAGTTTATTAGTCTACATTTTAGGATAATTAGCTTTGCAAGGGCTTAAACTCTTTTTCCCTTTCTTTCTTTCTTTCTTTTTTTTTTTACTTAAAACAACAGAAATGTATTCTCTCAGTTCTGGAGGCTAGAAGTTTGAAATCAAGGTGTCAGCGAGATTGATTTTTTTATGGGAGTTTTTTTTTTTCTTTAAAAATTTTTTTAAATTGTAATATAGTTGAAATACAAATAATATATAATTTACATAGTGATTCATGATTTTTAAAAGTTATGCTCCATTTTTAGTTATTATATAATCTTGGCTATATTCCCTATATTGTATTAAACTTTCATTTTGGGGACTGCTGAAGTAGACAACGAACAAATTTAGTTACTAGAGTGTATTGACTTATTCTTAAATTTTACTCTAGGTGTCAGTAAAGAGCTATACGTAATAGCAATAACCAAGGAGTCCAGATAGTAGGGGGAAAAAACTACCCCAGATAGAGAAATCAATCTATTAATAACACTAAATCCAAATTATTTTAAGTTTTTTTTTGGAAAATGTTACTTGAGAATAGTTTTTGTCCTTTAAGTTCATCTTGGTGTGTCCTTTTCCTTTCCCTTTGGCATCATACTCTCATGTTAAATGTTTCACAAATGAATGTTTTTCTAGTATATTCTACAAAGTATTGGTTTCAGTTTTAAAACTGTATCCTGATATTTTTTGTAGGCAACAGGGAATGATGAAACAGCAAATAACTAATACAAAAATATTTTGTTTAAAATTATCTGTTGTAATTGCCTCCTTCCATAGGGCCGAATTTTTCGTGATTTCACAGTTCCTGGAGTTAGCCCAGCAGAACGCTCAGCCATATATGTGGCCATGATGGAAACCTTGGCTCAGTTACATTCCCTGAATATACAGTCACTGCAGTTGGAAGGATATGGTAGAGGTGCTGGGTACTGCAAAAGACAGGTAATGCATTCATACAAAGAGCTGCTTTTCTCAAGTTCTTGGACATAATATACATTATTAGTCAAAATCAAAGCCTGTTATTTTATGCTTTTATGAAACTTGGCTAACTTTTAGTATCAACCTTCAGATTGACTTGTTTTAAACATAAAATAATTTTTTTATTGAAGTATAGTCAGTTACAGTGTGTCAATTTCTGGTGTTTCAGTCATACATATACATACATGTATTTGTTTTCATATTCTTTTTCATTATAGGTTACTATATTTTAGATAAGATTTTGTTCAGCAAAAGCTTCTGTAACTGACAGCATGTACATAAATGCAAATTTAATGGTGTTTCTAACCCTTTATTAGTATATTTTCTATAGTTTTCCCTTTTAAATAAGTTTAACAGATATATATTAAGCATGAATGTATGTTTAATATGTGCTGACTAGTATGTTAAATATCATGAAATAAGTTCTTCCCCTAAAGAAACTTGTAGTCATTTTTGAGACACCTATACATGAATCTCATTTACATGAAACTTGAAAATAGTGTGAAGGGTATTTAATCTGGTAGTAAATTGTCTGGTGCTCATCATGACAGCTGTTCCATTCAGAGGGTAGATACGAGTATGCCTTTCCTTAGGTGGGGAAAGCTTCCTGGGAAAGATAGGTCTTGTACTATGTATTTAAGGAAGTATAAAATCCCAGCTATATGAGGCTGTTTCCCTTTGTATATATGTCTTTTTGAGGGAGTTGAAGGGAGAGAGAAGGGAACTAAGGTTTAGAGAATACTCACTATATGCCAGGTCCCACACTAGGTGCATGTGGGCCTACTCTCTTTTTAATCTTTGTGACAACCCTAAGACATAGGTATTATTACTTCCATTTTGCAGATGAGGAAACTGAGGCCTTCGGGTATTAAGTAATATAAAAATAAGTGGCTTAGACTTAATTTAAACCCAACTCTTATGATTCTAAAGATGAAGATCTTTACTGCATTAAATTGAACAGATACCTTAAAAAGTGGAAAGTTATTAACAGATAAATAATATCATCTCAGCTGATGGAGGACTTTGAGAATAGGTTGACTTGTTTGCATTCGATTCTAAGAACAATGAAAAATCTCTGCACTCTTCATATCTGTAATATATTTAGAAGATTCTATGGATAAGGAGAAAGGGTATTAAAATGAAAAGTAAAAATCTCCCTTCTTCTAGCCTTCGTATTCCATTTTTCAGGGATTATTTGTTTCTTGTGACCCTTCCAGAAATTTTCTATGTCTATTTTTTTGGTATCTATGTGTGTTTGTGTGTGTTCTTTGTTTACCTTCCACAAAATAATTGCCTGACAAAGACTAGAATCCCCATTTTTTGATTCCTAGGCCAGTATTTTTTTTCCTGATTAAAATCTAGGTAAATAAAATGGGACTAGATGGAAGAGAGATTTAAATGTTGAAGTTTCTAGGCTGATATGAATGTTTTAGGCTAATATGAGTATCATTTACAGGCATTTGTCTTGAGCCTTTAGGACTAAAACCAAATTTGATACAATTAAATTTTATGTTGATTTTAGAATTGCTGGATCTTACGTTCTACTTTCAGCTCTGTCATTTTTCGTATTTATATATCTTTAGGTATCAACCTGGACAAAGCAATATCAAGCTGCAGCTCATCAGGACATCCCTGCCATGAGCCAGCTATCTGACTGGCTAATGAAAAACTTGCCAGATAATGACAATGAAGAAAATCTGATTCATGGAGATTTCAAGCTAGATAACATTGTTTTCCATCCTAAAGAGGTACCATAAGCCATATTTACAATAAATTGAGTACATCTGATTTGTGATACAAGTACTATATAGCTGTTGCCCCAGAGCACCCAGCTCATCCCCACTCTTTCCTTACATTCAGGACTATCTTCAGCGCTCAAAACTTAGAAATGAGTCCTGCAGATTTTTTGGAATACAGAGCTGCCTTTCTTTAAGGCTGCATCTAATCCTGAGTGTTGTTGGATTTACTACTTAACAGGGATTTGGGAATTTAAATGCATGTCACTGTTTTCTTCAAAGAAGTTTTTCAACTACTGAAAATATTTAGCTTACCCATGTTCTTGCTCGTTCTTCTGGTTCATTTTCATTTGTTTTCCCTATCATATGAAACATTTTTAACTTGATTATTACAAGCTCAGGAAAGACAGAACTCCAAAAGAATTCTTTTGAACCTTCAGAAGAATTTGTATGAGGTTAATATAATCTTGCTCTGTGTAAATGTGAACAGTGTAATCTTTAAAAAGAGTGCAAACAAGTCAAAACTGTAACCCTCCTGCACTGAGCACAGTGAGGTCTAGGATTGGAGGAGTGAGGTGGGAACGAGGAAAGTACTTCAGTTCTGTCCTTACCTCCATCCCTTCGGGTCAGACATTTGGCATTTAGTATTCTGACATTGATGTGAAAGATTTATAGTTTCCTGAATCCTCCTCCTTAGGGGAGAATTTTCTGGGTTGATTGGTTTTCTCAGATTGCTAAGATGTTAAGGCAGAAAGAGCTGCTCTAAATTCATGTGCTAAGTTTCTGGGTTTCATGTTCTTTCCTTATAGGAAAAGAACAAGAGAAAGACAGCATTATAAATTTCATTATTGTCATAATTCAAAATAGTACTACTATATCAATAGAAAGTTCAAGTATAATATAAAGACATGAGCACATTCACCATCAAGACAGGAAATTTTTCATAGAAAAGTCAATTTGGATATTTAAATTATGTATATGTAATTATACATGTGTGTGTAACCTTTTATGAATGGCACAGATGAATTCTGAATTCTAACTTTGTTACAGAGTAGGGAAATTAAAGATTGCTAATTTATAACCTGAAAAAATTATAAAAGCTTGTACCTTAAAACAGCAAGATCTGGCCTATGTTTGATCTATGTATCATTTGATTCATTCATATTTTAGAATGTTTGATACTTTGAATAGCCAATGTTCTTTATGTGTTCTATAATGAAGTACTTTTCCATTCATTACCTACACAAGGAAGGAAAAATTCAGACCTAAATCTCCTTAGTTATGTGTCGTCTGCCACGACGTTTCATATTTTAGGATGAGTCATAATATGCTGAAACTAATGTCAAACTGTAGTAAGTACCAAATAGTTATTTCCTTTTTATATTTAATCTCATCTTAGAAAACGATTTCTTTTAGGATTAAAGTTGCCAAACGGGTATCATCTTCCTTAAGCTCTGTCGTGTCAATGCTAGTTTGTTACATACATCATGATAGTTTAGTGTTTTAGGGCTATATAGTAGCTAGTAAAATGTCCTCTACTTTCCATCTAGTAATCCTATAATTGTTAGTTAAATCAAATGTAATCAATGTCTGCCTCCTATAAATATTGTAGCTAATTTTTTATGGAAATAACATACAGTTGACAGAGTACAAGTCAACTAGCATTTATTCATTTACCAACTATGTGCTCCGAAGCATGGGGTTGGAAGGCAATAACAGCTCTTAATGAGGTCAAAATATAGATGGAGAGAAAAGATACTCAGGTAATAGCATAGAATAATATGTACCCAAGTGCTAAATTATATTATACAAAGTGAATTATGAGAACAGTCAAAAAGGGAAAGAGACCCACTGGCATTAAGAGCTGTGAAACTTCAGAATTTCATTCTAGCCTAAAGTCTGTTTTTCCCACCTCATTCTTAAGATTTTGTAAGTAGGAAATTAGACTATGTTTCTTTTTTCATGAAGGCACTCTACAAATGGGAAAGTCAGTCCCTGGGTTATAGTGAGTGTATGTGTGTGTATGTGCTCAACTGTGTATATTCCTAGGGGTATGATTGAAAGCTTTTTATTTTTTCTTTGAAGATAAAGATTATGTCTTTATTTTTTTTCTTACCTTTGCCTCTAGACTCTATATGGTAGATGCTCAATACATGAGGACCTTCTAGACTAAGAGTGCATAACACAGTAAATGCATCTTGTTTATGTAGCAGGTGGTTACATGTTTCTGATGAATCTACGTTAAAAGAATTGGTTTTAGTTTATCACTAAGTAACTATTTCCATCTCATTTATTTATGCTTAATTTTTATTCTCTAGAAGTATGACTTTAAAGCAATTTATTTAACCCTCTCTGTGCCTCAGTTTTTATTTTAACTTTTTATTTTGAAATTATTAGACTCTCAAGAGGTTGTCAAAACAGTACCTAAGGGCTTGTGTACCCATCAGCCATGTTCCCCAAATAGATCTCACACAGCTCTAGTACATTATCAAAGCCAGGAAATTGACATTGTTTGCCTTTTGTATTGAGGAAAAAAACCCAAATTTCAGAGTTCCCAGAAGGCTAAAATGAAGTAATTGATATGAAGCAACTAGCTGGTATCTGGCACAGCTGGTGCCCCACTTACTTTAATTTTCTTCTTCTTTTCTATTCTTTCCTTCTCTTTTCATATTCTACTTTTCTAAGACTGCCTATCAAGCTCTATTCTTTAGAAAAATATGAAGATAAAAGTAAATCTTTACTCTTTAGTAAATACATACTAAAACTTAAACAGTGGTTTTCAGGGATGGATTATAGAAGACTTATAAGTTGTACATTTCTGTAACGTTCAAGGTTTGAGGTTTTGATTTTTAAAAAAATTTTTTTTTGTGGGGGAGGTAATTACTTATATTTTAATTTTTATTTAATTTTAATTTTTTTAATTTAACTGGAGATACTGGGGATCAAACCCATAACCTTGTGTATGCTAAGCATGCACTCTACCACTGAGCTATACCCTCCCCCCTATTGTTTTGGGTTTTTTTTCAAAGAACAGCATGTTTGTTTTTTGTTTTGTTTAGTGTTTTTTTGTCATCAGAAGACACAACAATTAAGAAAGAACACAAAACAATTTTACATAAACCATCTAGGAATGTGTATGGCAAACCAGTTAAGAATTACTAAAGGGAAAAACAAGACTAAAGCATATTACTCAGTTTCACAGCCCCTAGTTATTTTTTAGTAACTGATATGTAAAATATTTGAAGCATGTTTGAGCAAGTTTTGCAATAGTGCAACATGCTCCCTGAAATGTTGAAAAGAAATCCAGTTTTCCTGGAAAATATCATTAATTTTCTAAATATAAATCTTACCCATCTGGCAGAGAAATGTTTAAGATTTTAGAGTTTAAAGTGCATATTGCCATTTCAACTTGAAAGATAAATACATTTAATTAGGAACAGATAAACCCATAGATGTTTCATCTGCACTCATTTATTAGTAGTCAGATGTATTTAAGATAAATATAAGTACACTGGTTCTTCTGAAGTCATCTGCCTTGCAGCCTTTTGTATGTTCTTAGGAAGAAAAAAATGATTTGATATGCAAAAAAAACTTGTACTTTTAATGGCTTTTTCTTTCTAATTTCCCCCATTGTTTCTAAGATGAGCATTAGGTAGCGCTTCTTGCATGAATTTTAGTAGTTTTCTGGTAACATCTTTAGGATTTTCTACTTACAGTGTCATGTCATCTGCAAACAGTGACAGTTTTACTTCTTCTTCTCCAATTCAGATCTCTTTTATTTCCTTTTATCCTCTGACTCCTGTGGCTAGGACTTCCAAAACCATGTTGAATAAAAGTGGTGAAAATGAGCATCCTTGTCTTGTTCCTGATCTTAGAGGAAGTACTTTCAGCTTTTCACCATTGAATATGATGTTAGCTGTGGGTTTGTCATTTGTAGTCTTTACTATGTTGAGCTATGTTCCCTCTATGCCCACTTTCTGGACAGTTTTTAATCATACATGGATGCTGAATTTTATCAAAAGCCTTTTCTGCATCTGTTGAGATGGTCATATAATTTTTGTCCTTCAGTATGTTAATGCGGTGTACCACACTGATAGATTTGCAGATACTGAAAAGTCCTTGCATCCCTGGGATAAACCCCACTTTATTATGGTGTATGATCTTTTTTAATGTATTGTTGGAGCTAGTAATGTGTTGAGGATTTTTGCATCTAGGTTCATCAGTGATATTGGCTTGTAATTTTGTTTTTTTTGTGTGTGTGTGTGATATCTTTGTCTGGTTTTGGTATCAGGGTAATAGTGGCCTCATAGAATGAGTTCAGAAGTATTCCTTCCTCTGCAATTTTTTGGAATAGTTTCAGAAAGATAGGTGTTAACTTTTCTCTAAATGTTTGGTAGAATTCCCCTGTGAAGCCATGTGATCCTGGACTTCTGTATGTTGGGAGTTTTTAAATTACTAATTCAATTTCATACTGGTAGTTGGTCTGTTCATATTTTCTGTTTCTACCTGGTTCAGTCTTGGGAGATTGTACATTTCTAAGCATTTGTCCATTTTACTAAGTTGTCCATTTTATTGGCATATAGTTGTTGTAGTAAGCTCTCATGATTCTTTGTATTTCTGTGGTGTCAGTTGTAACTTCTCACTTTCTGTTTCTCATTTTATTGATTTGAACCCTCCCCCCTTTTTTTTCTTGATGAGTCTGACTAAAATTTTATCAATTTTTCTTATCTTTTCAGAGAACCAGCTTTTAGCTTCATTGATCTTTTCTTGTTTTTTAGTCTCTATTTCATTTATTTCTGTTCTGATCTTTATGATTTCTTTCCTTCTAGTAGCTTTGGGATTTGTTTGTTCTTCTTTCTCTAGTTGCTTTACGTGTAGGTTTAGGTCATTTATTTGAGATTTTTCTTGTTCCTGAGGTAAGCTTATATCACTATAAACCTCCCTCTTAGTATTGCTTTTGCTGCATCCCATAGGTTTTGGATTATCTTGTTTTTGTTTCCATTTATCTCCAG